TTTCTTCTTTTTAATTAATTAATTTATTATTTCAACCATCGTTAATATTAATAAATAATAATATAACAATAATAACATTAATAACAATAATGGATAAAGCTTATACTAAAACTCCAGAAGAAATCTTGGAATATTTTGATGTTGATATTGAACATGGTTTAACCGAAAAACAACTTCAGGAGGCAATTGGAAAATATGGAAAAAATGGTATTTTAATTAATTAATTAACAAATTTCTTTTGAAACTAGTTATCTGTTTAATTTTTTCAAGAACACCCCTGATAAAACAACTAATAACATCTACCTTTACATAAAAAAGTTTTAATTAATTAAACGGATCAAATTTTTAATAACGTAAATTTACTTTTTCTAAATAATATAAAAGAACTCCCTCAAGAAGAATCTACTCCTTTAATAGAACTTATTTTAGAACAATTTAAGGATCAGCTCGTAATCATCCTTTTGATTTCTGCTGCAATATCTTTTGTTCTTGCTTTATTGGAAGAAGAAAATGAACAGGGAACAGCTTTTGTTGAGCCGATTGTCATTCTTTTAATTTTAATTGCAAATGCTACTGTTGGTGTAATACAAGAAACTAATGCTGAAAAGGCTATTGAGGTAATTTACTTGTTTAAATATTTAATTGATACTTTGAAAATATATTTTAACATCATTGTGTAAAAATCTAATTTATACACGTGTATGTATTTGCATGTATGGGTTTGCATCTTGTAACCTTTTATATTTAGGCTTTAAAAGAGTATTCACCTGATGAAGCAAAAGTTTTACGCAGTGGTCACCTCTTTAAAATCCATTCATCTGAACTCGTCCCCGGTGATATTATTGATATTGCTGTGGGTGATAAAATTCCTGCTGATGCTCGCTTATTAAAGATTAGCTCTTCCACCTTTCGTGTTGATCAATCTCTATTGACTGGTGAAAATGCTAGTGTTAATAAAGTCACTGAAGCAATTAATGATCCAAATGCTGTAAAGCAAGATCAAAAAAATGTGCTATTTTCGGTAATTACATTACTTTGATATCTCATCAATTAATATTATGTATTATGTATTTATTTCTTTATGTGTATGCATTGAAGGGGACTACAGTTGTGTTAGGAAAAGGCCGTGCAGCCATAGTTCAGACAGGATCAAGGACTGCAATAGGAGATATTCACAAAAGTATTGCAACGCAAATATCCGAAAAAACACCTTTAAAACGTAAATTGGATGAATTTGGTGATTTACTTGCTAAAGTAATCATCATTATTTTTATATTAAAAAAAAATTTTTTTATCAATATTATTAATCATGTATTCAATTTTTATATTCAATTAGGTTATATCAGTTATATGTGTTCTTGTATGGGTTATAAACATTCGTCATTTCAATGATCCTTCACATCATAATTGGGTTAAAGGTGCTATTTATTATTTCAAAATTGCTGTTGCACTAGCTGTTGCTGCAATACCTGAAGGATTGGCTGTAGTTATTACTACATGTTTGGCTTTGGGCACCAAAAAAATGGCAAAAAGAAATGCTATTGTTCGTTCACTTCCATCTGTAGAAACATTAGGCTGTACTAGCATTATTTGTTCTGATAAAACTGGCACTCTCACTACAAACCGCATGAGTGTATCAAGGGTATGCACACACATGCATGCGCATATACATGCATATACATATATTATATATATGATTTTTAAATAAACTAATCAATATTTAATTATTTAGATACTTGTTGTATTCAATGAATTCTGTGAATTTCAAGAATATCATGTTGAGGGTTCAAGTTATTCACCACATGGTAATATTTTGTAAGTTATTCTTTAATATATATTTATACCTTGTTACTTATTTCAATTAAAAAAAAACTAAATAAATTTATCTACAGTACTTCTGATGACAAAATTGTTGAATCAGCACTTCCTTTAACTAATTCTTGTGTAAATGATCTGGCTCAAGTTTGTGCATTATGTAATGATTCACGTATTTCCTATGACGATGTAAATATTTCAGTTTTTATTTTCATTGTAATTGGTAATCTTTATCTACCCTTATCTAATATTAACAATTTTATATTTATAACTTTAGGCAACTTCTACATATAATAATGTTGGTGAACCCACTGAAGCTGCTCTCAAAGTACTTGTTGAAAAGCTTGGTACTGATAATCCATCTTTCAATTCTACTCTTTTTGAACTATCATCAAAAGCTCGTACAACCGCATGTAATGATTATTATGATAATCTTAATCTTCGTGTAAGTTTTTATTTTTTATTTTGCTATTTATTAAAAAAATGTCCTATTAATATTCTACTGTATTATGCTTTGTATTATAGTCAGCTACACTTGAATTTTCACGTGATAGAAAATCAATGTCTGTTTTAGTACAATCAAAAAAAAATAGTTCTTCATTTACATTACTTGTAAAAGGTGCACCAGAATCTATACTTGATCGTTGTAAATTTGTACGTTTATCATCGGCAATTGGCCCTGCAACTTCGGAATTAACTCATAAAATTAGACAAGGATTAAATGAAAAAATTTTAGAATATGGTAAACAAGGTTTACGTGTTTTAGCTATTGCCAAAATTAGTGGATTGACATCATCATCATTGAGCAATTATAATTTTAGCGAACCTAGTACATTTATTCAGATAGAGCAAAACATGACTTTTATTGGATTTGTTGGTATGCTTGATCCACCACGTCCTGAGGTTGCTGGATCAATAAGAAAATGTGCAACTGCTGGTATTCGTGTTATTGTAATTACCGGTGATAATAAAAATACAGCTGAAGCCATCTGCAGAAAAATTGGTATATTTGGTGAACATGAAGATTTAACAGGAAAGTCATATACTGGTAGAGAATTTGATCAAATGTCAAAAGATGATAAATTATTAGCAGTAAAACGAGCTAGTTTATTTTCAAGAACCGAACCAATCCACAAATCTGAGCTTGTTGATTTACTACAAAGTCAAGGTGAAATTGTTGCTATGGTATGTACTATATTATAAATAAATAATAAATATATATATCTCCTTTTTCTTTATAAATTTTATTCACATCATCACAAATAGACGGGTGATGGTGTAAATGATGCACCAGCTCTCAAGAAAGCTGATATTGGTATAGCAATGGGATCCGGAACTGATGTAGCCAAGCTAGCTGCTGATATGGTTCTTGCCGACGATAATTTTGCATCTATTGAAGGAGCTGTTGAAGAAGGTAGATCTATATATAATAACACCAAACAATTTATCCGCTATTTAATAAGTTCAAATATTGGTGAAGTTGTCAGGTAAATAGATATTCATTTCTATTTAAAATTTTTTATTCAAAATTAAGAACATTGACAATATAACCGTAATATATATTTTTAGTATTTTTTTAACAGTAATACTTGGTATGCCAGAAGCATTAATTCCTGTTCAACTTCTCTGGGTAAATCTTGTAACTGATGGTCTTCCAGCTGTTGCACTTGGGTTCAATCCTCCAGATCATGATATAATGAGATGTCCACCAAGAAATGCTCATGAACCTATTGTTGGAAAGTGGCTGTTCTTTCGCTACCTTATTGTTGGTATTTATGTTGGTGCAGCTACAGTGTTTGCATATGCTTGGTGGTTTTTGTTTTATGAAGATGGACCACAAATTTCTTTTTATCAATTGGTAAAAAAATTATATTTATATGTTTTCTATGAAAATTCTTTCAATGAATTTTTCAGACAAAAAAATTATTTTATTTACTTTACTTTTTTCATAATTAGTCGAATTTTCACAGGTGTAATGAGTTATTTCCGGAAATTGGCTGTGAAATGTTTTCTAACATAATGTCTATGCGTGCAACCACAATGTCACTTTCTGTTTTGGTAACCATTGAAATGTTTAATGCCACAAACTCTCTCAGCGAAAATGAAAGTCTATTAACCCTTCCAGTATGGAGTAATATGTACCTTGTATATTCGATTTGTCTTTCAATGTTATTACATTTCATGATACTTTATGTTCCATTCTTTTCGGTAAGTCTCTTATTATTATTATTAATGAAAATTTTTGTTAAAAAATAATAATATTAATATTGATGTAATTTTAATTCTATAGATGCTTTTTGCAATTGTACCTTTAACTTGGGCTGAATGGCAAGCAGTCATATATATATCATTACCTGTTATTTTTATAGATGAAATAATGAAATTTTTGAGTCGTGTATATGTTGGTACGTATATAAGCAAATGAATGAATGGATGCATCATTTATTTATTTATTTAAGCTTTATTAATTTATTTTGTTTATTGATCATCAATAGCTCCTCCAACAAAAATCAAAGTTGAATAATGGGAAGATATATATTACTTTATATAAATATGTATAAGCATTAATTATAAATGTGGAGATAAGTGAGATTATAGAATTTATTTTACTGGATCCTTATTTTAATATAATATATTTATTTATACAAAAAATTATAAAATAAAATTTTTGTTCAGAAGACTTGAAGTTTCTGAAACAAAATAAAAAAATTTTTATTTTAAAAAATAATTATTCAAAATGTCTTCTTTGAAGATTTCAATCTATTAGTTGAAAATCTTATCAATTCTAGAGGTGATGCTCTCTACCATTAAAACATATTTGTAAACTTGTAAATGATTTAAAAACTTTGTTGATTGATTCGGATTTCTATGATGCTTGGGGAAGATGAGAAATAATCTAGTTATTTCTTACATCCAATGATATTGCTGCCATTGGAAAATCAATGCTTATAAGCATATTGGAAAATGATTTGTTAGAATTAGATGAAAGTGAAGTTTAATATTATGCCATTCAAATCGGAAATCATAAGGCATTGGAATAAATATAAATGAAAAATATTTTAAAAGATACCATTCCATTATTAACATGATTCTATAAAAAATTCAGGCCTTACAAAAAAGTATCTGATAAAGATGATGTATGTATATTAAGAGATTATCTTAATGTTGAATGGCAATTAACGAATTTAGAATTGAAATCTTTTAATTCTTAATTGGGCTAATGAAAAATAAGGCTTTATATAATTCAAATACCATCATATAAATTTAATTTAATGGATCTCAATCTATAACAACACTGAACAAACTGTAGTTTTAATGAAATCATAGAAACCAGAGAATTATTCGGGGTTTGTTAAAACATAAAAGAAAAGAATAATAATTCTTTATTGAATAAAAAGTTTGTTTTTAAAGATTGATTGATCAAATAAATACTTCGATATCAAGTAGAGCCAAAACCTGAAATTGTAATATATCATAATAAACAAATTACCACACTGAAAATTTCAGGTTTAATGAACATACAAAAAATTTAAAATCTTAAAAGTGGCAATAAATTGGTTCATTTGTTAAAGTATATCAGTAAAGATTCAGATAATTTTATATATAAAGATAATCATCACGGCTGAATGTTCTAAAAATAAATTTCTTGCATGTTGAATATTGTTTCTCCAAGCCCAAAGTACAATAACTTGTAACAAAGTAATTAAAGAATTAATTAATGGATCTTAACATTGTCATGTTTTACATTCATCCGCTTTTACTGTCATTCTGGAAAACCACAAATTATATATGAATGCGTTATAGAAATCGAAAAATTAGCAAAAGTAAATGTCAAAATTGTACATTCCAAAATATAAATTTTTTTGAAATATATAATAAATTGGACAAGGACATTTTGTGTGTTTTTATATATTCCACATTTCTGGACATAAATGGATATCATAAATTCTATTGATGAATATTATTCACTCATGTTCTTTTATATGGTTTTTTTACCAATGCTCACTTGTTAATAATTTAATAATAAATAACTTTATTTATTATTTTTTTTTAGAATAAAAAAATATCAAATTTGTTTTTTATTATTATAGTTGTTGTGATAATTATTATAAATTTCCCAAATTAATCAAAAAGACCTAGAAAATGATTTGAAAAATATTAAAACGTTAAACTATTGGTAAATTAAAAAACATATTTATTTATTTATATTTACCGAATCCCATATCATCATCAGATTCCTCTTTCTCTTCCTCCTTGGGTTTCTCTTCCTCCTTAGGTTTTTCGTCTGCAGTACCAGTAGTACCGCCACCACCAGCTGAAGCTGCAGCGGGAGCACCACCTAATTGATTAATTGATCAAATTAATTGTCACAATAATTATCAAACAGAAAAACAAGGAAATCATATAAACTATTTTTTTAATGTTGTACCTGCACCAACGTTCATTAAAAGATCAGTAACATTTTTTCCTTCAAGAGCTTTAGCAAATAAATTTGCCCAGACTGGTTCAACATCAATACCCGCAGCTTTGGTTAAAGTTGTTAATTTATCAGGCTAAGAAAAAAATTTCAATTTTAACATGAATAAATAATAAATAAATAAATAAATAATTTATTTATTTACTCCTCTTTTCTTGAGATAAAGATTTTATAATTAAACTTACAGTAATTTCAACACCGTCGTCTGCTAGAATAAGTGCAGCATAACTGATAGCAAGTTCTGAATTAGACATTTTTTTGATTTCTTTTAAAAATTGACTTTATCTTTAATAATAAGTAAAAAACCCGTGTGCGCAAGTAACGATTTAACTCACAAATGGAGATACAATACGCTCAACACGAATTGATAATTGGAAAAAAAAAAGTAAATGATTTTTTTCTAAAATAAAGATCTAAATTTTTTTGTAACTGAAAAAAAAAAAATTGAATCTGCAATTGTGAAATTCAAATAGCCAATCAGAATTTCATATCCAAACAAATTTTATTACAGACCACTAATCTTCCTATTAAACTAGCCATCAATAATTCCAAATAGTTGAAAAGCTAATTCAACGTTACTATTTAATAAAATTCTTTGTCATCTATTAATAGACAATTAATTACTATTTAAAATGGATTTCTCCATAAGGTTGTTTACTGACAATATCATCATCATCATCAATGCATTTGAATTAAAGCTTCGGGTGGTAAATTAATGAATATCTTTATTAAAAAAAAGTTACATAATATATAATCCATCTAATTCTGTTCTTGATGAATCAATTATAATCTAATAACTATTTTAAAAGGTTGCGTCCATTTTTCCCCAACAGGACATTTCTCTGATAAGATGTTTTCTAATACACCATGACCGAATTTTTATAATTAATAAATCTGTTTATAACGAATCCGAACTCACCTTTTTTGAAGTTTCTTATTTAA